ACATATCTGACAAAGTATAATCACAAGTACCAAAGAAAATGGTACTTGAATCACTATTTTAAAATATTTTTTTTATTGATTTCATAGAGGAAGAAAGAGAGAGTCAGAAACATCAACAATGAGAGAATCATTGATCAGCTGCCTCCTGTATGTCCCCTACTGGGGATCTAGCCCGAAACCCAGGCATGTGCCCTTGACCGGAATCAAACCCGGGACCCTTCAGTCAGCAGGCTAACACTCTATCCACAGTCACAAACCAGATAGGGCACTTAAATCACTTCTTAGTTCCATCTGTTGTACTTTGGAAGCAGTTTATCTCAACATAGGATTGATTATATTCCTGATTAGAAGAAAAGGCTGGGTAGTGGGTGGGATGGGGAAGACCACCATAAATGGTGGGAACTATCAATGAAAAATAAAACCTCTTACTCTCCAAGAATAAATGACATTTAAATCTCAGGCCCTAGGCAGTTTGGCTTGGTGGATAGAGCGTTGGCCTGTGTACTGAAGGGTCCGGGGTTCGATTCTGGCCAAGGGCACACTTCCTCAGGTTGCAGGCTCTATTCCCAGTAGGGGGTGTGTAGGAGGCAGCCAATCAATGATTCTCTCTCACTGATGTTTCTATCTCTCTCTCCCTCTCCCTTCCTCTCTAAAATCAATAATAATATTTAAATAAATAAATCTCAGGATCACTCAGGCTCCAAATAGATGAATTATATTACTATACTACCTAGTATGGTACATTAACCCATTCAATTAATTATATGAACCTATCAGCATAAAAGGCATTTACACCTGGATTATTTCAAAGCAGACCAACTGGTCAGACTTGCAACCTCAACACAAAACTTTCCAATAAAGGATATAGAATAACGAAACCCTCTCAAACGTTGGAGTGAATTTTTAAACCCTTCTACAGCTTTTCCTAACATTTTTCACATTATATAGATGGCAATCATGGCCAAATTGAATTGCATATGGTAGTTCAAAGAAAATCAGAAAGATCTCATGTGAACCAAGTAAAATCAATTGTGAGTGGAAGGATAGAATTCTATCTCTGATATGAAAGCCTATATCAAGAGTGGATCACTTATCAATTAAATTAGACCCTGAAGTTATATGACCTTATCCAAGCTTGGAAATATATGTTCATTCACATTCTCTTTCAACAACTTTTTTAAAAGGGTCTTTAACTTAACTGATAACCAGAATTAAGTTTCACACTTTAATTCATAAGTTTAAGCCCATAGTTTGGTGCCAAAACTAGAAATAGACCCTGATTTGTCACAGATTATTTGGCTTAGCTCTGTCAAACTTTCTCCAAGAAATGGTGATTTTTCCCAGAACTTCCTAAAACTGCTATTGATAGCAGGATTGTTAGAACTGTAAGGATTCAACATATAAGAAATCACTATTCAAACTTTTGCATGAAAGTTCCATCTTGTCCTGGCCCTTGCCTAACTTTCATCTTTTGTCAGTCTAAATCCTACCTATCTTTCAAAACGCAGCTCTGCCACCTACTTTGAGAAACTCTGATTTCTTCTTTCTCCCTCTTCCTCTTTCCAGAATTAGCTTCTCCATGTTTCCATAGTATCCAGCACATACCTCTTATCAGCAGATCAGCCACAAACTATGGGAAAAAAATGTCTGCTGTTTTTAATAAAGGATGTGCATTAAGGAAAGGTAAAGAGTAATGTTCAAAATGGCTCTTGAAAGTTGATCCAAGGCATCAAAATCTCTTCTCGTTATCAAGTAATTTTTTCACCAACGTAATTCACGACAGAACCAATACAGATCATCTTCCTACGTTTATAATTAACAGATAAAATTTGGAGAAAGATGTAGAATGAACTCCTCAAAATGGTTTTAATACTATTATAAATGTTATTAGGAGTATTTAAAGAAAAAAGATATTTCCAAAAAACTAACTTTATTTGTTAATTACTTGAATTACATAATTTAACATAAAGACTACCATGGTGTGATATATTCAAATACTTAGCATAAACATGTTTTAGTAAGAAAATCACTGTTGACCGTTTTTAAATAAAAATGTAAAAAATTAAAGAAATTATACAAGTCCGATATGTATAAACCACACTCTACTATAATGGTATTTATTTACAGTGTGCCCCCCCTCTTTTAACTGTGAGTCCTAAAAGGGGAAAACCATATCTTATTCATATTTGTATCAGCAGAGCTTAGCATAGAGTCAGGCCACATATATGTTTGATAAATTAATGAGAAGATACATTCCAAGAGTAATTATCTTAGGACGTACAGCTGGTTCCCACTGTATATCTGAATAACACTCCCTCACTTGGATTCATTATACTTCTGCATTCTGGAGCAATGGAAAAATACTATTCTCTTCCACATAAAAGCCTTTTAATTCCATGAAGAAAACACATGCAATAGAAGAAGGGGACACCAGAAAATGAGTTAGTTCTCAGGCAGTTGTTCTCAGCCTGGCTGAATATTAGAATTGCTTTGAGAGCTTTTTCATGATACTAATGGGGGCTGGGCGGATGAGTGAAAAGGAGGAGGGCTTAAGAAGTACCAATCGCCTGTTATAAAAACAGTCATGGGGGTGTAACATACAGCACAGGGAATATAGTTCAATGATATAGTAATAACTATGTAGGATGTCAAATGGATACTGGACTTCTCAGGGTGAGCCTTCATAGGTCTATAAATGTTTAATCACTATGTTGTACACCCTAAACTAATGTAATACTGTATGTCAATTGTAATAAAAAACAACAAACAGTACTAATTGAGTGGGCCCCCTCCTAGTCTGATATCTGGGGAAGGGACCTAGACTGTTCCTCCCTCCCTCCTTCCTTCCCTCCCTTCCTTCCTTTCTTTAACTCCAGAGGTGAAAGCAGTGTGCAGCCAAGATTGCAAACCACTGAGTTAGGGGGACTAGATGAACCCCAGCTTCTGCAAATAACTGTTTCCCGTAGACATTTTACTTAAATCCTCTGTCTGTATTTCTACATCTAAAATGAGGGTAACACCTGTTTCTATTTTACATCATTGTTAAGATCAAAGGAAATAGTGTACAAGGAGTGCTCTGGAAAAGTGGAAACCGCTAAACGATTGTTAGAACATTACAGATACTTCCTTATTTTAGAGCGATTACCACCAAGAAAGGAATTTTTCTGGATAACCCTACAAGAAGGAAGACTTGACTAGATAAAAGCTGAAGGGTTGAGGGTGCGGTAAAGGAGATTTGAATTTAACACATGCTTCTTTTGAGCCAACACTGTTTAAAAGATGCTAATGCAATCTTAAAATGCATTAGTAGAATTCCAGTGTCTGTAGCAAGGGAGGTAATAATCCCATTTATATTCTGCAATGGTCAAACTATAATAGTTTGAACTGGAATATCCTGTTCAGTCCAGAGTACCTCATTTTAAGATGTCATTAAGAGACTAGAGTGTGTCCAGGAGAGGATGATTTGACTAACCTGGTAATCGTGTCACATTAGAAACGGTTAAGAAACTGAGGATGTGTGGCCCAGAAAAGAGATGAGTGGGAAGAGGGACTGCCTTCATAAGACTGAAGGGCTGCTACGGGGAAAAGGATGACATTATTGCTCCAGAAGAAGCAGAAATAGGACATTACTGGCATGCACAGCACAATAGGGAACTTTGATGAAAATTCAGTATTTATCAGAATTCCTGGATGTATTTACTTAAAAAAAAATAAAAAAGATTCTTGATGCCTGGCTGGCTTGGCTCAGTGGTTGAGCATCAACCTATGAACCAGGAGGTCATGGTTTGATTCCTGGTCAGGGCACATGCCTGGGTTGTGGGCTCGATCTCCAGTGTGGGGCATGCAGGAGGCAGCCAATCAATGATTCTCTCATCACTGATGTTTCTATTTCTCTCTCCCTCTCTCTTCCTGTCTAAAAACAATAAAAATATTTATTTTAAAAACCAACAAAGAAAAGAAAAACAAAATCCAGGATAGTGGTTTCTTACATGGAGAGGAGGGTTAAATTATAGAACACACAGAGGGCTTTAAAGGTACTGGTTAAGAATCCATTTATTTCTTAACTGGGTGATGGGATCACAGAGTATATATACAGAGTGTCCCAAAAAACATATACACACTTTAACAGCTGATAGCTCAATTTTGAAAATGAAATGTATTTTAATAATTACTTTATAATTATTCAAAAGATATACGTTATATATATACACCATATATATATACCTTATATATATGTTTGAATATATTATATATTATTAGTAAAAAATGTTGCAATTCCTATTATTATTCCAGCCCTATAAAGCAGACCAAGATCATTATCTCCAGTGTTGACTAGCACTTAGTGGTTTCTCTAGAGATGGCATCACTGTAAAATGAAAGTATTACCAGTATAAGGTATGAATAGCTCAAGGGCTTCTTATTTTTAGGAACAGCGTGAGCTGATGCACAAGCTTAGCTCTCAATGATGCTATAGTTGCATCTGCCTCTGGAAGGAGCTGTTGGTTGTCTAGGGAGACTCTTAAAGGTGGCAGGGGTAGGAGGGTGGACAGAGATTGCCTCCCAGAGGATGTAACATTTGGTTGTCACAAGTATAGAGGTGCTACTGGTAAAGGTCAGGGATGCCACTAAACATCCTCAATGCACAGGAAGCCCTCACAACCTAAATCACCTGGCTGATACTGAGAAACCCTGCTCTGTGTAACCACTTGGAGAGCATTCAGGAAGCCCATCTAACTTTAATTTGTGATGACCCAATCTCCCATAAGGATAGAAGGAGCCCTAGTTTGCAAAGTTTGTTGATCCTCAGAATTGTGCATAGAAGGGAGTCTAATTATATGCTCAATTAAAATATAAGGTTTTTCTTCTTTTTTTTTTAATCTTCACCCAGAAATATTTTTCCATTGAGTGGAAGAAAAAGGAAAAGACAGAGAGAAATATAAATATAAGAGAAACACATCAATTGGTTGCCTCCTGCATGAGCCCCAACCAGACCCCGGGTCATGGAGGAGCCTGCAACTGAGGTACGTGCCCTTGACCTGAATCGAACCCAGGGCCCTTTGGTCCACAGGCCGACGCTCTATCCACTGAGCCAAACCGGCTAGGGCTAGAATACAAGCTTTAGCCCTGACTGGTTTGGCTCAGTGGATAGGGCGTCGGCCTGCGGACTGAAAGGTCCCAGGTTCAATCCCAGTCAAGGGCATGTACATTTGGTTGTGGGCACATCCCCAGTGGGGGGTGTGCAAGAGGCAGCTGATCGATGTTTCTAACTCTCTATCCCTCTCCCTTCCTCTCTGTAAAAAATCAATAAAATATATTTTTTTAAAAATAGAATAGTTTTATGGATAAGTATTATGTGAAAGAAGGCTTCTGATAGATTGTAACCTCCTTAAAAGTGCAGACTTTGATTCTTTATATCTTCTGCACTGAAAATCTCAGTATGCTTTGAATCGTTGCTCCTGAAAAAAGACACAGAGCACAGCACCTGGCATATAGTGAGCACTCATAACTTCAGTTAATATTACTTGAAAAAAATCTTTTTCAAATTCAAATTCTAGCAATATAGCTTACAACTTTGTCTATTTTCCCCCTAAGGCAGTGGTTCTCAACCCTGGCTGCACATTAGAATCACCTGGGAATCTTTTTAAAATCCTGATTTCTGGGCCTCATCCTCCGGAAATTCTGTTTCTTTGTTATGGGGTGAGGCCACAACATTAGTAACAAAGAAACAGAATTTCCGGAGGATGAGACCCAGTAATCAGGATTTTAAAAAGATTCCCAGGTGATTCTAATGTGCAGCCAAGGTTGAGAACCACTGCCCCTAAGGTATCCCAAGCATCAGAAAACCTGACACAAAATAGATGCTCAATAAATATTTATGAATGAGTGAATGACTAAAAATGCTACCCCATAGTGCACTTGTATGCCTCCCCCAAAAAACAAAACAACAGAAAGCAATAGGCACAATGAGGCACCACGTCCAAACGCACCCCCAGATCAGCACAACTTCTGCCTGAGACTCCGAACCTCACCTTCTAGACAACATAAACAAGAAAGCTGAAATCAGTATCATTCACACACTGATGATAAGATCGGTGCATTAGTTCTAAACCCACAGCTGGTAACTGTTTGGCTGGACATGAATATGCACCCAGTGACTATTCAATAAAAATTACTGATCACTGTGGCTGACCCCTAACCACATCTAAGAAACATGAGAAATGCTGCATCTTTCACGCCACTGAATCTTGCCCTTCTCATCAATTCCTACTCACAGCTGTGCCTGACTAATTAAAACTGCCTGGAAACCTCGTCTATCACTTTACTGGATATTTCTTCTACTTAATCAAGATTCCACTTTAGAATTCAAATCCATCTGTCTCCCTCAGTCTGCAAAGAACGAATGTTCGGAAAAACTAACCAACTAGCTAAAATTAAATGTACCTTTTCTAGCTAAGACTTAATATGTTGTTGGAGACTGGGAACAAGAAGTGTAACAATGAATCACTAAAAAGAAGATAACATAAAGCTTAACCATGTTAAATATTTAGATATTCAACTCCCACCTTAGAAATCAGGGACAAATCCAGAAATTATTGGCTAAAATGGGTTTATATCGAAAGGCAAAACTTTCTGATTAAATTAACACATGTCAAATATTGCTCACCCAAAGTAATTACACATGACTATCAACCCTAAAGTTTTACTCATCCATTTGTTTCCCTCTCCTTTAAACATTAGAAACCTAAATTGGCTCATAACCTATAGCTTCACCTTCAATATCTGAAAAATATAGCATTCATTGCTGAGCTATAGGTCTTGTCTCATGAAAAAAAAAAACAAAAAAAACCCCACCTCTGTCCAAAAAACAAATTCCAAAACTAGCTTAACTCAAGAGTTTCAAAAAAGCTCAACATACTACAGGCACACAGGTGCTAATAGAAAGCACAGGAGACTGGAAACAAATCTGGCAGTAGATCTCTGAACTGTCTCGAGTTTTTCCTACTGCATACAAAAGTTTTGTATTAAGGAAAAAATCAAGAACAACACAAAAACAATAAGCAAGCCTCTAAACCTTATCTGTAAGCACAAACAAAAACTAATCAAGCAATAAAAGCAACCTTAATAATATAATAAACACAAAGATAAATAGCAAAATAAGCAATTTGAGGATAATTAAGTATTTTACAAAAGAAAATTACTGACTATATATTAATAACATTATAACATTTGTCTACAGAAAGTGGAAGTAATTTCATGAAAAAAAGTATAAATAATTTATATTTTTCTTTTCTTTTTTAAATTTTCTCCAGAGAACATGTACGACTTTTGTAAGAAGTTATTTTAGAAAGAATAGAAAGCAAATAGACTTTCCTACAGGCTCTAAAGCACACAGGAAGCCTGGTAGTGAGGGAGCTACATTTACCAAATGTTGATGTGCCAGAAACTATGCTGAAGCTTCCATTTCCATTTTCCTTAATCTTGAAAATCAGAGCATAAGGTAGGTAAGTAGCAGTGTTGTGCTCATCCTTCCTATATAATAAAAGCCTAATATGCAAATCGACCGAACGGTGGAACAACCAGCAGAACCACTGGTCACTATGTGGTGCACTGACCACCAGGGGGCAGACGCTCAATGCAGGACATGCACCCAGCCCACAGGCCCCAGGCCAGCCAAGGCAGGTGCCAGCGGGGGGCCCCCCTAATTGCCCCCGCCAGTTGCCCTGCAGAGGGAGGCAACCAGCGGCGGTGGCAGGGGCAGGACCAGGAAGAGGGCAGCACCAGGGCAGCCAAGGCAGGTACCAGCGGGGGCCCCCCCATCACCCCACCAGTCGGCCTGCAGATTAGCCCTGATCGCCAGCCAGGCCTAGGGACCCTACCTGTGCACGAATTTTGTGCACAGGCCTCTAGTTCTACAATAAGGAAACAGCTGGTTTAGAAAATTAAGCCAATGGCCAAGGTCACATCATTAGTAAATGGTGAACTAGGATTAAAAGGCAATCTCTAGAGCCCAATTCTGAACCACACCAGCAGCATTTCCCACACATGCTAAGAATCACCTTAGGGCCCAGCCGGCATGGCTCAGTGGTTGAGTGACAACCTACGAACCGGGAGGTCACAGTACATGCCTGGGTTGTGGGCTCGAACCCCAGTGAGTGTGGGGTGTGCAGGAGGCAGCCAATCAATGATTCTCTCTCATCATTGATGTTTCTATCTCTCTCTCCCTCTCCCTTCCTCTCTGAAATAAAACATTTTCTTTTTAAATCACCTTACGCACTAGTTAGAGAAACATACTGTATCCACAAACCCTATACCTTCCATCAGAGGGCGAAGGAATCTGTATAAGTAATAGGCAACCCAGTGATTCTTATCAAGTATGACTTGGAAACCCTGTCCACCCTTCTCTCCATTGCCACCCAAAGTTTCGTTTGGGATGAAGCCTATTACTGAATATAAATTGCCCCTTGTTTAAATGACAGGTTCTACATTCTCCAAAATCAAAAAACACACAAAATAAAATCAAAAACAATCTATTGGTTGAAGAGACTCTTGGGTTTCCAGAGAGAGAGAAATGACCACTCCATGAAGCAGGAGCTAAAGCTTTTGTGTTGAGGCTGCCATGTCTCCTGAATTTCTATAGTCTCCATAATTGCTCTGAGAGTTACTGGCAGCTTATTTTCCCCAACCATGAATCCAGAGTCTGGGGAAAGGAGAAGGGAGCAGGGCAATGTGCTCAATGACAGCCACACTCAGTTGCTCTCATTTTTAAAAACAGGAGAAAGGAGACATGGAATTTCATATTCCTAAAAAAGAGCTTTCCTAGGAAAAACAGGTTATCAATTATTTGGATTAGTATTTCATATACACATAAATACAGAAAACAGTGAGGGCTCTAGCCAGTTTGGCTTAGTGGATAGTGTGAGCCTGCAGACTGACAGGTGTGGTTCTATTCCAGTCAAGAGCACATACCAGGCTGAAGCTCGATACCCAGTAGGGGGCGTGCAAGAGGCAGCCGAGCAATGATTCTCTCTCATCATTGATGTTTCTCTCTCTCTTTCCCTCTCCCTTCCTCTTTAAAATCAATAAAAACATACAAAAGAAAAAAAAAGTGAGGTCCACAGTAAACTGGAAAATGCATGTCCCTTCTAGAGGCACTCAAATTCAAGTTACTTTTGAAATTTTACATGCCAAACAAAACCTCTCTGTGGGTTGAATTTGACCTCTGACAATAGTTTGCAATCCTGTGGGCCCAAATTTTTTACATATCATTTTTTCATAAACCTATGTATTTATTATATAAAATATATGTTTATATATTTCATGGGGTGACAAATGTTGAATTTTAAAATCTCTTGCTAATTATCCTATATAATAAAAGCCTAATATACTAAGTGTCCGGTCAGCCGTTCAACCAATTAAAGCGTAATATGCTAATGATATGCTAAGGCCACTCAACCGCTCACTATGATGTGCACTGACCACCAGGGGGCAGACAGTCGACCAGTTGGTTAGCTTGCTGCTGGAGTCTGCCTGATCCGGGCTGAGTAAGACAGGCCGGACACACCCTGGAGCCCTCCTGCAGTCCCTCCCCGACTGGCCAACCTCCTGCATCGCTCCCCGCCCTGATCATGCACCAGTGGGGTCCCTCGGCTTGGCCTGTGCCCTCTCGCAATCTGGAACCCCTTGGGGGATGTCAGAGAGTCGGTTTCCGCCTGATCCTGCAGGCCAGGCCGAGGGACCCCACCGGTGCACAAATTCGTGCACCGGGCCTCTAGTACTTCAATAAAGCTAAAAAAAAAAATCTCTGATGAAAAATGAGTTAGCGTTGGAAGTAGTTCCTTTTGAAAAATGAAACTCCAGTATTGGGAATAACCTAGTGATTCAAATACAAATCATGTAAAATGAATTTACCTGCATGTCAGTTACCTACCATTAACCATCAGCTATTAGGAATAATATTGGCCCCCTCATGGACAGAACTTGGAGCTATGATTCACAAACGTCCTTCTGTTCCACTATAGCT